AATAAATACGTCATATTAGAATTATTGCAAATAAAGAATAAATCGTTTACTCCCAAAATGTAAACACAGACAAATTCAAGGTCACATGTATTCGGAAGAAACTAAAGACGAAGAAGAAAGACGTAAGTGCCTACGAGAAAAACTCGCCAGTGATCGCGACGATCTCTTACTTTGTGTTTTATTTAGAGTAATTACATACACTTTTTAACAACTTTTTTGTTTTGAAGTGAACCTTCTTTAGAATTGTTGACACTTGATGAAACTAAAAAGCGACACTAAAAAGAGATACATCCAGATACAGCCATCCATAGAATTTAAGATAGAACACAGTACACGGTGTTTCCAATTATCACGGTCTCAATAAATTAATAATTTAATAGTAATCTTAGTTTAAGACCTTAATTGAGCTATTAATATATCAATGAGCGTTCTGCGGGATGGAGCGGCATCGTTCTTGGATTACAGTGTTCAGCGTGGTGGCCCCTGAAAATGTTTGCCGGCAAATGCTCTCAAATTTTTAGTATTTAGGATTTTTTATACAGTTGCTACCAGTAACACAGTTCATTTCAGAAAAGCAGGAACCTAAATGCATGTGATATGTGGTGAATGCATGTGATGAGGTTACAAAAAGGTCTTAATTAAATACAAATAAAGTTCAGTCTGATCAATCTCATGGGCATACAAATGTCAAATATTATTCGTAGTTCATAGATTACATATTCATAATAATAGATTAAATTATTCATCTTAAATATTAGTAGCATTGGATTAGATTATTCATGTTAGAATAGATTATTCATAAATGTTGTTATATGTACAATTTTTTTATATATCATGTAATACAGTCAACCGGACTTTAACTCTGAAAGCTCAAATAAATTCATCAGTAGAATAAAATTAATGTTCAATTAGAAAATGGAACAATTTATTTTTGAAAATCTGTATATCGTTACACTCTTTGATATTATTCGGTATCTTAATGTATATCTTTGGAGCCATATCTAAAACACTTTTTCCACGCAGGGTAGTTTTATATTTTCTAGCAAGGTTATTACATAATCTGCTTCTGATTTCTTATATTTACGCGAACACTAAACATTTAAATAATACTATAGTCCAGGATCCATCACCCATTTTTGCACGTGATTACTATCAAGCTAATTTTCCGTGAGTAGCTTTATTTTGATGAGACGCCCAATAATTTCCTGTACGAAACTCTCAATTGTGGTAGCTAACAGAAGTAGCAAGGATAAAATATTCTGATTTGATGATTCTCAAATATTTATTACTAACTGAATTTTTTTTGTTAAATCTCAAGATTTTCTAAATTATCCGAAAAAATATTTGTCCTACAAAATCTATGGTTTGATCAAAGAGTCCCCTATATCGATACATATATCCAATATGTATCGATAACGAGGTCATCATAAATGATTACTAACCAGCTGATTTTTTTTGTTTTTACTTAGTTAATATTTATATAATTTAACAGAAATATTGTCCTACAAATTGCGTGGTACGTTATCCCGGTCCTACGCTCAAAAGTAGTAGTACAGATCCTTGATGTAAAAATAATTACTATCTAGCTGAATCTTCGTGAATAGCTTCGTTTCGATGAGTCGCTCAACAATTTCCTATGCGAAAATTCTCAATTGTGGTAGCTAACAGAGGTAGTAAAAAAATTTGTGTCGCTTGGGTTTCTGTATTTTGCTACTACAGCTGAGTCACACCGGTACAGCGGTACGCATGCGCAGAGCATTGCTTACTCCGTATTAGGTATCCCACGTTAGTGTCGACCTTAAGCCTGCAAACATTTTCTTAGTCGACCACGTGTTTTATTTTGTCTTGAGAAATTATTTCAAGAAATGTTTTTTGTGCTGGAAAATAATTATGGAGTGTTTTTTGTATAATTTGTTTTCTGAAAACCCTACTTTTTGAAAGAAAAGAGAAAAAGAGAAAAAGGTGTCTTATGAAAGGTAAGTCGATCGAATATTTATTTACTGTATTTTTAAAATTATTGAAAAATAATTTATTAAGTTCATATTTTCACGTAATTATGTAAAATCGAGCATTAGCATTGTAACATTCTATTGTAGCATTGTATTATTGTTAAATTCTTTAAAAAATATTTTTTGATAGTATATTATATTTTACATATTTTCTTATGACTTACTTTACTTATATATTTTTGTATGACTATTTGACTAAATATTAATTTAATATGGAATAATTTTTTCATTATCAATGATGCTATGTGATATTTATGTAGATACTGTATTTATTTGCATTTTTCTGAAATAAACAATTTTTAATGTTTTTTTAATAATTTCTCATACACAGCACTGAGCCAGATTCAACATCATCAGCGTCTCAATCTACTGGAATCATTGATTCCTCGATATCTTTAACGTCTGCTGAAAATGTAAAACCGAACTCATTGCCATGCACTTCACGGTTAGTTAATTAAATATTTTTTTTATTTGTTAGTTATATAATTTATTTGTATTTTATAATTTACTTAATTTTTTCATGTTATTACAGAGTCAGATATACCGAGTGAGGAAAGTGAAATAGAAGATGACAGCGATGTTAGTAGCGAAGATTTATCAAATGAATCTGATGAAGATTACCTTCTTTTTTATATATATATAAATACATAAATTTTTGTACCAAGTTTATCAAAAAATAAAGTTATTTAAATTTTAAAAAAGCTTTTTTCACTTTATCTTATTTTACAGATAGAAAAACGAAAAAATGACAATTCTTGTCGGACTAATAATACATACCTGTTTTCTTGTAGGACGATGTTTCATTTGGGCAGAGAACACACTAACCTATCATGTAATATTTTTGTCCTACAGTTAGTAATGAAAAAAAATGGTCTTGTGGTATTAACAACTTCTGAGCGTAGGACCAGGATAACGTACCACGCAATTTGTAGGACAATATGTCTGTTAAATTATATAAATATTAACTAAGTAAAAACAAAAAAAATCTGCTGGTTAGTAATCATTTATGATGACCTCGTTATCGATACATATTGGATAGAGGGGACTCTTTGATCAAACCATAGATTTTGTAGGACAAATATTTTTTCGAATAATTTAGATAATTATCTTGAGATTTAATAAAAAAAAATCAGTTAGTAATAAATATTTGAGAATCATCAAATCAACATATTTAATCCTTGCTACTTCTGTTAGCTACCACAATCGAGAGTTTCGTATAGGAAATTATTGGGCGTCTCATCAAAATAAAGCTACTCACGGAAAATTAGCTTGATAGTAATCACGTGCAAAAATGGGCGATGGATCCTGGACTACTAGTTTTACGGATTTTATCGCGTATATTTAACTTTTGAAATGGGAACTCTGCAGTCTGTGAACATGTACAGGGTCGCCCCCGTCACTACATTAGATTTGATAGACCGCAAATCCTCACTAAAGGACACCAAATCCTTCCAACGATGATTCGCGAGGCTATTAAAATCAAAAAACATTCTAATTTCAATAGAGAAGATGGCTGGGTGCTACATCTGCTTGGGATCCTATAATTAATAAAATTAAAACCCAACTCAAGCATACAACTGCAAGACTTCAAGACACTTTAAGTTCGTGCTGCATAGATCGGAAAAAAACATTAATAATATTAATCTATGGTCAACTTAAGTGTGGTTTTACGGTGACGCTTACCGACAGATAACCCGCTCGAAACTATAAAACGAGCTAGGAGTCGCGCGGTTTGCTGCTGTTGAGAAGCGCAGCCGAATTGCCGCCAGCGCGGGCCATCCGCACGTGTGGAACTATGTAACGATCCAAGAGACGCAACGCTCATGGCCCGCGACGCTTACCAAACGCGCTGACGAAAGCGTCACCTTAAAACCACATGACGTTGACCATCTCAGTCTCCCCCGCGATCATGGGTGCTGTAAAGTTCTCGAAACGTCGGGTATTTAAAACGTTTAATATACACGATAAAATCCGTGAAAACTAGTATTATTTAATTTGCTTTTATTACGAAATCTCGAAATCTCTAGTTGTTGGTGATATCACTAGGAGCTGTCGTATTTTTAATATGTTAACGGAAGTCAAAGTTATAAATGATGCGCGAAATCATGAAATAGCCTAATTGTAACGATCGGACTACGAAATATACAAAAAATACATGTAAATTATTAGGTCATCATGTTGACGTGTAATCAATTTTGTAAGTTCCCAGTTGCGCAAGTGGGCGTCGATAAAATTATGTTTGGTGCAAAAATATATGTTCAATATTTTAGGTTAATGATATTTATTACCAAATGGTGGTGGGTTAGTTATGAGAACATAATATTCAGTCAACAATATAAAGATACTTTTACATAATGTAATATACTTGTTCCACCAAACATTTTGTAAGGATAATGGACCTCGTTAGATTGTTTGTAAAATCTTAGCACTTATTAATATAAAATTTAAGTTACAATTATATTTATTTAAATTAGAATAAAAGTCGTTCATAAATGCTGGGCGTGCGAGAGTTAAAAATGGACGAATTTATTCCACTTTGACTTTGATGTGGAAACCTAAAAAAAAAAATGAAAGATTAATAAGCAGATTTAAATATAAAAATTTAGCCTAATTAAGATAATTTATATATGTTTCTACAAAAAAAAATGTGTATAATAATATAATTGTCTTAAGTACCCACAGAAATGTCGCATCTGAACAAATTAATTTCATAATCTATATTCCATGACACGAGATGGCGTCTTAGGAATAATTTGTTTTATTACTAATATATAATACTTTTTTTATTGATTAAGTATTTTATTAACTGAGGAAAGAAATTCCTTGATTTTTACTGACATTTCTTGAACTATTTGTGCAATATCTAAGTACACACGATGGCATATTTTTATCAAGAGGTTTTTTTTAATCAAAACAACACGTGACAACTCTACAAGCGCATATCGAGTGGCTAATTAAAGTGAGGTGTAAGCACATTACAGCTTAATACAGATTTACCAAAGAGGTCTGCCAGTTGTACGTGTTTGGCGGATAGATATGCTAATGCATTAAGACGTTCAGGCACAGATTTATCGGCTACTTTCTGCCAGCTGAACGTGTTCGAAGCCAATGGGTCGGGCACGGCAAACAAATCTGAGAGATAACCGTGCGTGTGTGCGTAGAAAAACAGATGTGTCTATTAGATCACACCTCAGTTAGCAAATAATGCATTACGTATAATGTACGTATTCAAAAGATGGTTCATTCTTTCTTAAAAAAACGAAATAATCTCTTTCTTATTCTTATTCATTGTTCTGGATTAAAAAATCCTTGAGAAGATTCACACGGCTATATCAGGACCGCTTTTGTAATCGTTGTTTTTACCAAATACTTGTACATTTTCTTTCTTCAAAACTAACACACTTTCGTGCGACATAAAAAGCTGCCACGTGCCACTTTAAAAACGGCAGCTTAGGTGTCCCGAAGATGGGTTGGCACGAACCGGAGTGGTACCACGGCCTCACAGAATACCCAGCGTGAAGTAGAAGTTTATTCCTGCGTTTCGCTTGGTTAGTGAAGGTGGCCGGAGGCTCAATCTCCCCCCCCTCTTAACATGGTAGCGGACTCATATAAGAAACTACCACAGGAGGATACCAGCAACCCTGGTGACGGAGAATCCACGCCCAAGCTATCCTACTCTTCCTAAGCGTGGATGCTCAGGCTGCCCGCGTATTCTGGGGGGAGGGGGTGGCAAAATTCCTCTCAAGATGACAACTACTCGGAGCAAGCTAAGCAACAAGACCAAGGCGATACAATTTAGGACATTCCTTTGCGCCTCGGCCAGAAGTTTCCATATACGTAAGAGAGGACATCTGTTCTCGATGCTTCGGTAGTCTTAAAGGCTCAAACCTGTCCATCTTTTGGCCACTCGTAGACAGCGACTACCGTCCGTGCGTCTACTTGTGCCTCTATATCTATATCCCATAGCGGTAATGCTACAGACGAACTCGTTTAACACATTTAAATTGCTACAGATTCCTTGCTACAGCAGATCCCATCCGCAGAGATGGTGATCCTTGGCGATTTTTACGCCCACCACGCCAAATGGCTCGGTTCACATTTAACCAATCATGCGGGGAGATTTTGTTATGAATTTGACTTGGCATATGGCCTGACACAGCTGGTTACTTCGTTATCATCATCACCATTACAGCCCTTCACAAGTCCACTGCTGAACATAGGCCGCCCCCAAGTAATGCCACAAAGCACGGTCCTGAGCCACCTGCATCCATCGACTTCCTGCATATCCTACCAGATTGTCACTCCATTTAGTGGGGGGTCGCCCTACACTACACCTACCGGTATGAGGCTGCCATTCGAGGACCTTTCTTCCCCATCGGTTATCGGTTCTTCGAGCAATATGGCCGGCCTATTGCCACTTCAGCTTACTAATCTGTTGGGCTATGGCGGTCACTCTGGTTTTTCTGCGGATATCCTTATTTCTGAGTCTATCATGCAGAGAAACTCCGAGCATAGCCCTCTACATAGCTCGCTGAGCGACCTTGAGCGTCCTCATACGGCCAGCAGTGAAGGACCACGTCTCAGATCCGTAAGTCATCACTGGCAAAACGCACTGGATGTACATTCTAGTTTTCAGAGATTGAGGTATACCTGACGAGAGGAGGAAGAGGGGGAAAGGAGCATGCGACTCGCCTAGTGGTAAATGATTACCGCCGCCCATGAACGCAACACCAAGGGAATTATAGGTGCATTGCCGGCCTTTTAGAAAGGAGTAACCTCTTTTCTTGAAGGTCTCTAAGTCGTATCGATCCGGAAATGTCGCCGGTGGTAAACAATTCCACAGACAAGTTGTACGAGGCAGAAAACCCCTAGTAAAAACGCACAGTGGTGGACCGCCAAGCATCCAGATGGTGAGGATGGTATCGTGAATTTTGCCGCGGTGTGCGTTCGTGAAATTTGGCAAGTAGGATTAATGCGAACAATTCCTCAGAGCACTCCCCCGTGGTAGATGCGATAAAATACGCAAGAAGATGCAACATCTCTTTGCAGTGCCAGTGAATCGAGCCGATCAGAAAGAACTCGGTCGTCGACAATTCGAATCGATCTGTGCTGGATGCGATCAAGTAGAAGTAGCTGGCACAGGGGTGCCCCAGTCCAGAGATGAGAACAGTAATCCATGTGAAACCGAACTTGCGCTTTGTAAAGTGGCAAGCGATATGCCGGCATGAAATACTGTCTCGCTCTGCTGAGCTCGCCAAGCTTGCTGGGCAAGTCAATTTGGCCTTCCAAGTCATAGCGACCACGTGACTGCACACTATTCGGTAAGTCAACGCCGAGGATTGGACTAGATTTAGTCGCCCCCAATTTTCCAATTAATTTATAAGTGTTATTTATTTTTATTGTAATAATTTATTTCGACTTGTGTTTCTATTATTTATCACATTTTGTAAATTTTTACAAGTTTTTTAATAAATTTATTTATTTTGAAAGACAATATTTTGCCTTTAATTTACTATAATACTTAATATATTTATTTTAACTTTATGCTTATTAATGCAATTTTAAGACTGACACACCGTATGAATGCTTGGCTGCTCACCACTTTACGTTTCACTAGGAGTTTTCTTCAACGTACGATCTCTCTGTGGAATCGTTTACCACTGGTAATTTTTCTGGACCGATATGACTTAGGGACCTACAAGAAAAGAGCTTACTCCTTTCTAAAAGGCTGGCAACACACCTGCAATTCCCCTGGTGTGACAGTTGTTCATGAGCGGCGGTAGTCACTTACCATCAGGTAGGCCGTATGCTTGTTTATCCTCTTTCCTATATAAAAAAAATCCTCCTTTCCGGACGATCCCAGCGTTATTGCTGGTTCTGTCGCTGATGTGGTACTTCACGGTATGGAACTTTCTATTCCATCTTCTGTGGTGCCTGGCGCCTTCACAATTGAACACATTCAGCGCAAAGTGGTTCGAATTGTCAACGATCGAAATTAATTCAAGCTGCCAAATTTCACTAACGCAAATCGCATCAAAATTCACGGTATCATCCACAATATCTTGATGATTGGCGATCCACCACTGTGTTTTTTCGTTGTAAAACCTTTCTGTAGAATTGTTTACCACTGGCGATTTTTCCGTACCGATATGACTTAAAAATCTTCAAGAAAGGAGCACTCTTTATAAAAGCCCGAAAATATGCCTATAATTCCTCTGGTGTTGCCGTTGTTCATGGGCGGCGGTAGTGACTTATCATCAGGTGAGCCGCATGCTCGTTTTTCCCTTCTATTATTCCGTCATCCTTTTTGAGGAATCGGTGCCAGTGCGTTACTGTTAACAGAATCATAAATAATGAACTGGAAACATATTCTTCTACCCTAAAATATAACACATGCGGTATCCCTTAGGGAAGTGTTCTATATATATATATTATACATAAATGACATAACCAAAATGACTGGTCATAAATATATCTTGTTTACAGATGACATATCAATAATTGTGACATCAGATAAAAATAAATATAATTCTGTATATGGCCATCAAATTGAATTTAATAATACTATTGACAACATTATTAAATGGCTAGAGGAAAATAATCTAAAATTAAATTTAAATAAATCAAATTTCATACAATTCAATAAATCGAAACATGATAAATACAATTTTAACCTTAATATCGAAAAGATTAAGAAAATCACACATAGGTACTAAATTTTTAGGAGTAACTATAGACTGGGATCTAAACTGGAAATTACACATTGAGGTCTTATGCAAGCGTATCAATAGCTTTATTTATGCTCTTTACAAAACATGGAGCGTAACTAACTTACAAACAGCTATTACCACTAGTCATTTAATAACAAGCGTATGTAGCTTCGAATCCACGTTATGGGGGAATGATATGGGGCAATAGTACTGAGAAACAAAAAGACATTTGTAGCGCAAAAAATGCATCACAGCCATGTGGAATTCCACCAAGCGAGTCCTGTAGAGCATCTTTTTGGGACTTGGGATTACTTCCGTTGACAGCATTGTACGTTTTTTAAATGACTTGCTTTGTCGAACGTCATATTGAGCCATAAAGACAGAGATATAAACTTTCGAAGAAATTTGGATAGATTAGTGTTAAAGCGTCATCCCGAGATCTACTAAATTCAAAAAAAGTTATTTGGCAATGTATGTTAAGGTATATAATAAGATACCCAATGACATTAAAACCGTAAAATGTATTCACTTATATCGAGACTCTCTAAGTGACTTATTGATTTGTTGATATTGATTTTTATGAACGTATTTGACCCTTTTTGAAATAAATGTTACCTCAAATGTTTGGACCTAAACTTGCATGCTAATTATAAGCGAAATATTTGAACTTATTTTACTATACCGCCTACAAATACCATGTTTTATGCAAATGAATTAATTATTTTTATTATTAAAAAACAATAAAACCTGTTTCAAATCTATCTACCTTCTAAGGAAACCACCTTGGCTTATAACTAAATTTTGCTTTGAACAGCTGTCTGATTACAATGGAATACTGAGCACGTTTGTGGTAAAAGTCAAAGTGAAAATAGAGTTAAGATCTGTAAATTTGAAAAGTAATTACTTAGTACAAAAAGATAAAAAGATGTCATTCATTTTTTGCTAATAGTATTACAATAGCGAAAATATTTTCAATCAGTTCAAACTTCTCGCATGCTTTTAATACACAAATTGAAATGTACCATATGTTTATTATAAACAATTTCAAATACCCCTTACAATCTATCAGAATAATGGTAAATGTGTGCTTCGTAAAATGGCATGTGTTTTAAATGTAAAACGAATTGATTGTAGTGACTTAATTTAAAAAAAAATTTCGCTTATGCGTTGTATCGCTCACTCAGGCAATATTCAATAAACGGACATTTGTGTATATATGAACGAACTGAACTTGGATGGTAGCCAAGGCAATCCCAACGCCAAATTTTAATTATATTTATAAATGCCACAGATTAATAATAATTAATGCGGAGCAACTTTGAATACACGCGTGATATTGTTGCATTTGAACTTTTTAGGTACTTTGTTTACATTAAAAGCAAGGAGATGATTCCCATTCCCTGTGGAGTGTAGTGTGGTTTTAACGATAATAT